CTATCTATCTATCTATCTATCTATCTATCTATCTATCTATCTATCTATCTATCTATCTCAGGGGGACCTCGTTCCAGAGGGAAGGTGCTGCGGCAGACAAGATGCGCTTCCAGGGTCCCAAGAGATGACGTCGTTTAATCGAAGGACCCCGGAGCGTGCCAACTCTGCACGATTCAATTGGCCACTCAGACATTATGGGAGACAGGCGGTCATCAAGTAACCAGGCCCTATGCCATGCCTACGGCTAGGTGACCGTTCCAGCTCCCTCTCAGATAAAGGCAATGCTGTGTGAAGGGTGGTGAAAGATCTGTAGAAAACAAGCCATTTTCTTTGCCATTTCTTCCCAACCTCACCTCCTCCAGCTTTGTGGGGTATCATTCCCCGACGTCCAGCTGGCCAGGAATACCGGCAACTGTAATGGAACGGAACTGGAGATCAGTGGGTGGCAGCCCGTGGATGACCCAGTCTGGGCTGGGAAGCTAAGCAGTCAGTACTGGTTAGTACTTGGAAAGGAGACCACTAGGAAGGCCCAAGGACGTTAGGATAGACTGGGAAGCTAGAAGAAGATTCAGGGGAAAGCGAACCATGTCTTTATTCCTGCCAAGGAAACTGTATAGATGTACCTCTTAAGTTCAACTCAAAGGATAGTTAACATTAGTTTTCAAGCTACCCTTCATCAAAGCCAATTTCTATTCCCAAAGGCCTTTAGGATAGCTTTCCAAAGTGTAGACCCTACCCAAGGGTCTGGATTTCAGTGCCCATCGTCCTCATACAGCCATAACTAGGAGATATCATTCAAAAATCTGAAGAGCACCCGATTGGGGAAGACTCCTAACCGAGCAGCTGGTCCCACTGAACTCAGTAGGACTTAATTCCAATTAAATCAGCACACGATTACACTGTAATACGAAGGACTCATGGTGGCTGATTTTGATTAAGCTGGAAGGATGCAAATCCATTTCCTTACCGTTACTGCCTCGTGTTTTACAAACGTATATCAAAGGCTGCACGTGCAAAGCCAAAACAGCAGAAAATATAATAAAACACAGCCTTAAATCATCACAGAGGCATCATAAGATATTATCATTATTACGACTACTAGCAGTAATGGGGCTAAGGGCCCCTTACAGGCTTCTAAGGAGAAACACAACCACTCACAAACCACACTCAGATACAAACAACATATGGAAGCTTTGTAGCAGCTGTTCATCCAACTGCCTTCGGTGATGTAGAATCTCTTCCTAACGCCTATACTTTATAATATTTTTCTTCTCCTCCTCCTCCCCTCTTGGCCTCAAGAGCTGCGCATCACTCAGATCCACTCAGGGAGACAACCATGGGGAAAAAGTATTGAGGACTAGTAACTTGAATGAATCTATCAGTCAAAGAGGCGTTTTGACTTGTTCCGTGGGGCAACAGTTGCCTGATCTTTCCAGACCCCAGTCCAGTCCCTTCCAGATCTTTTAAGATGACCGCGTGCTGAGTTTTCCACCAGCATAAAGGTTATGCTGGTTAGAAATTCTGGGCAATGAGGCCCCAGCAAACCTGCAAGGTGCCAATTGGGCAGGATTGTTTTATAGCAGTGTTTTTCAATCTTGGCAAGTTTTAAGATGTGTGGATTTCATCTCCCAGAATTCCCCCGCCCACATGGCTGGGCGGGGGATTTTTTGGGGGGGAAATCCAACAACCTAACAATTTCCCAAAATTAAAAACACTGCCAT